CAAAGACATTAAACCAATCCCCCCCCTTAACAATTCAGCATAGAACCAATCATCACCAACAAAGTGCAATAACAAACGGTGGTTGGCCATTGATATTTTAAATATATAATATATATATACATAACTATATAGTATAACATAAAATTGAATGTATATGTATTTTGTAATACCATATATCAATATAATTTATTAATGGTATTAAATAAACACGCATATCCATCAAATCATCATATAAAATTTAATAATTTAGCATGAACTTGTTCTTACACCACGAGTCCTCGTCGCGTTCACCTGTAAAATATACTCAACATATGTTAGAATTAATTATATATAACACCATAACATTATTCAAGTTAACTCCTAACATCTACTTCTAAGAATTTTATTGGTTTAGAAAAATGGGTGTTACATATACACTCTTTATTTATTTGTTTCTATATTTTATTTGAGATTTTGTTTTTTGTTTGTATAGACTATAGTCTTTGAACTTTTGGAAACCCATAAATTCCATTGTTCCCTTTTCATGTGTGTAATTGATGCCTTCTAAACCTAGTGAAATCATAAGAAACAGTTATTAGATTTCAGTAAATCAACAATGGGGTTATTCTCTTTAGTGTAAAAAATGCATGCCATTACTACATTCCTCCTATTTGTATAATTAATGTGTTCTGAATGGTAAAAAAATATCAGAAACTCTCCCAAAATTTAAAGAATTGCTAATTAATTTATCATTATCAGTATCATCGATTTTTTTTTTTTTTTTTGTGGACGGTTCTATATAATGTCAGAATATAACTCTTACTTTCATTTATAATTTTTATTAAGTGTAAAACTAATACATTGTGAAACGTGTGAAATCACGTAAAAGATTCTCTTATATTTCGATAATCACTAATTTTATCATCGGTTTCATCTAATAAATTCATGTCATAATATAACTCTTACTTTCATTTATGGTTTTTGTCTCGTGCGTAACTGATATGCTGTGAATCATGTGAAATCACATAAAAAATTCTCTTAGATTTCGATAATCGCTAATTTTATCATCACTTTCATCCAATAAATTCATATCAGAAAAAAAACTCTTACTTTCATTTATGATTTTTGTCGCATGCGTAACTGATATATTGTGAATCGTGTGAAATTCACGTAAAATTTTTTCTCATATTTCGATAGTCACTGATTTTATCATCAGCTTCATTGCCCAAATTCCCTATAAATATGACCCCCATAGTCTCATAACCAAATGCATTAAAGAAGAAGTTGCATTAAGTTTTTTTCCATACATGATAAGTGAATATATAGGGTCCAAAGTTTGATACTGACAGAGAAATTTAGAATTAGATTGGAGACTCTTAATTTTGCTGCTTGAGATTTTTCTAGATAAAACATGTAGATATATAGACTTTATTTTGCTTGCTTGCTTTCTGAAAGACTATAGTTTTTCAACCTTTGGAAAGAAACCCGTAATTCCATTGTTCTCTTTTCACGTGTAAAACTAATGCATTCTAAACTTTGTGAAATCATAAGAAAAATCTATCAGATTTCAATAAAGCGGCAATGGGACATCTCTTTACTTTCAAAATTGCAGAATGTCATTACTACATTCCCCCTATGTGTATAATTAATGTGTTCTGATTAGTATATAATCAGAAACTCTGCCAAATTTTGAAGACTTGCTAAATTAACCAGCAAAAAAAAGAATTTACAAGTGACAACAGGCTATAATTTTGCTTGTACATGATATGGTTGTTTAGCATTGAAAGTGAGAAAGCATTATGTGTGTGTATATGTATAACAGAATTGTTAGAAAATTATGATGTTGATCTTCTATAAATTTGAATTGATCACTTCAAACATTGAAGTCGAGTGTTCTTATGTTGATTTTATGAAGTTTAAAAAATTCTGAGGCCGGATTTCTTGCCTAAACTAAAGAAATTTGTGGATTTCAAAGTAGAGCAAAACTTGGGCAATATCTTTTTTTTTTTTTTTTTTTTAAATGGAACTTGACTACTTTAGTGGCATTTTTAATGTACCGTTATTTTTCATCTAAAAGGGAGGAATTTGGTATAGTTCTTGAACTATTGGCATATTGTGATAGCTTGGTCCCTAAATTATTCTGATCCTTCAGCCTGAACTTTATAGTTTTGGTAGTTTTGATCCGTTTTGATAACTTAGAATATGCTATGCGTGCTATCAAATTGAGAATGCTTTTGTTACTCCATTAACATTAAATTTTGATACTGACACAAAAATTTGGTATTAGACCTCTTAAGTTTGTTGCTTGGGATTTTTCTGGAGAAGTCATAACGCATGCAGATAGTCTTTATTTATTTGGTTGTTTTCTGATAGAGTAGTCTTTTAACTTTTGGACCCGTTATTCCTGGCCTTGTTCTCTTTTCATGTGTGCAACTTATGCAATCTAAACCAGGTGAAATCATAATAAAGAATTATCAGATTTCAGTAAAACAACAATGGGGGTATTCTCTTTAGTTTCAAAATTGCATAATGTCATTACTACATTTCCTTTTCTATGTCTATAATTAATGTGTTCTGGATGGTATAAATTCAGTAACTCTCCCAAAATTCAAAGAATTGCCAAGTTATCATCATCGGTTTCATCGAGAAAGTATATCATACTTTTGTTTTTGTGTATAACTGACATACTGCGAATCGAGTGAAATCACGTGAAAGATTTTTTTTTTTAATTCAAATTTTGCTAGTTCTGTCATCGATTCCGTCGCTATTATTTTTATCTTGTGAAATATTATTTTAAGAGATTTTGATATTACTAACTTTATCATCAGTTTTATTGAATAAATTTTATGTGAATGGTTATGTACTCAGAACATAACGCTTACTTTCATTTATAATTTTTCTCACGTGTAAAATTGACACTGTGAATCGTATGAAATCATGTAAAAAGATTCTCTCAGATTTCGACAATCATTAATTTTATCATTGATTTCATCGAATAAATTCATGTCAGAATAATCTTTCATTTATGATTTTTATCTCGTGTAAAACAGATACATTGTAGATCACATGAAATCATGAAAAAGATTCTCTCAGATTTTGATAATCACAAATTTTATCATCAGTTTCATCGAATAAATTAATGTCAGAATACAACTCTTTCTTTCATTTATGATTCTTCTCGCGTGTGTAACTGATAAATTGTGAATTGTGTGAAATTACGTGAAAGATTCTCTCAGACTTCGATAATCACTAATTTTATCATTGGTTTTATCAAATAAATTCATGTCAGAATGTAACTCTTACTTTCATTTATGATTCTTGGTACGTGTGTAACTGATACACTACGGATCATGTGAAATCACGTAAGATTCTCTGAGATATCGATAATCTCTAATTTTATCATCGTTTTCATCGAATAAATTCATGTCAAAGTGCAACTAATCTTACTTTCATATATGATTCTTAACGTATGTGTAAGTGATACACTGTGAATCATATGAAATCACATCAAATAAATTCATGTCAGAATGTAACTCTTACTTTCATTTATGATTCTTGGTACGTGTGTAACTGACACACTACGGATCATGTGAAATCACGTAAGATTCTCTGAGATATCAATAATCTCTAATTTTATCATCGTTTTCATCGAATAAATTCATGTCAAAGTGCAACTAATCTTACTTTCATAGATGATTCTTAACGTATGTGTAAGTGATACACTGTGAATCATATGAAATCACATAAAAGATTCTCTCATACATCGATAATCACTAATTTTATAATCGGTTTCATCGCCCAAGTTCTCTATAAGTATGACCTCAATGTCTCATAAACAACTGCACAGTAGAAGAAGAAGTTGTATTAAGTATTTTCCCATACATGATAGGTGAATAGGGTTCAAATTCTCCCAAGTGAGAAGCTAGGAAAAAAGCTGCCTTATTCAAAATGTTTCCCATCTCTCAAAAAGTGTAGTATTTTGGAGCTCAAAGGAAGGTTAAAGTTAATTGAGAGTATCCACAAATATGCTAGTTAGAAATGGGTGGCATGGGAAAAATAAGGATGGTAGTTTGTTGGGGTTTTTGGAGCACCAGGTGATTCTCTGAGCTATTTTATATTTTCCATTGTCAAAATGTTGGTTCATTTCTTGATATTCCATAACAAGTTATTTGCTAAAATTACCACACTTAGATATACCATGTAATTGACTTGTCTTTCAATTAAATAGCACTCATATTTACAGCAAAGTTTCTCTCCAAAAATTGAAAGATTTTTTACCTTTGTTTTATGAGTTTTTATTTTCTTTTGAAAAGGAAAAAATTATCTTTTCTCCCGACTTCTCTTATATGTTCAGATGAGTCATTTGTCATTCCAATTTCCAAGTCCCAAAAACAAACTGAGGCCCTGTTATGCTTTAGCTCATTCTGACACAAACTTTGCTTCAGAAAAACTGACAGTGAACTTCTTGTTCAGTTCTTGTTTCTTTTTCTTTTTTAACCATGGAAAAATTACTCTTGAAATTCTTTGCTTCGAAGAAAGGTCAAAGGAATTTGTTGCTAAGAAAGCTCTTCCAGTTATTTATTATGTAAACTTTTCTGTTGTTACCCAAAGATCACCACTGATTTTTGAGTCGTCATATATTTATCAAGTTCTATTTCTGATGTTTAAGTCGTCATATGTTTATCAAGTTATACTAATTTTGTATATTTATTTATTTTAACGTGATTTTAATCAAATTTAACCGTTCTTTCAATTTTATAAGTTTGTTTATAATTTTAATTAGATTTAATGTTTAAAAATACGTGTTACTCTACTGTTAAAAGCTCAGCTCCATGAATTTAAGATACGTACTTTTTCTTCTAGCAAAAAAAAAAAAAAAATACGTACTCTTTCTTTTTGGCTAAATTCATCCTTTTTAACAACATTTTTGTGTGAAACATTATTCCTCTTCCTCTATCTTCCTTAACGAGGACTTTTCTTTTCTTTTTTTTCTTATAATGGTAGGTAAACATTGTCGTCTGTATTCACACACACACAAAGGGAGAAACCAGAGTTCTAGACAGAAAAGAGAAGTTGAATTTGGTGAGCTGCAAAATTTCACTACTAGAGATAATGTTACAATAATATGATAATTAACAACATTGTATTTGCTCTCTTTTTTCTACAGGCTATCTCCCCCCGCGGCCGCGGCTTCAGCAGTTTTCTCCTGCGCATCCATCGGCACCACGAGGAGGAAGGGGTCGACCCTTTTTCCGCATTGTGAGCTCAGCGGATCGTCGACAATCTCTTCAGGAACAACCTGAAGTTCTCATCTCGATCCAGCATGCTCACTCGGACGTACTGCGGGCTTGCCCCAAAGTGCTTCCCTCCTCGCGTTAGGATCTTGTGGCCTCTCAAGAAGCTTTCACAGTCTTCCACGCCCTTCAGGCATTTTAGCCACGCGAAAGCTGCAAGGTAAAAACAAGAAATTTCGTGTCAGATTGAATTAACGAGCAATGCTATTTATCACCGCTAGTAAAATCAGTTATAATTATGATGAGAACTGATATATCACCATTTGTAATCATTTTTTAAAACTATATAAAAATCACAATGTACTAATGATAATTTTGGTGGGATTTTGGATAATTTACCAGGATGAGGCTGCAAGTCCTGCCCGTGGAATTGGCAGAATGCAGGAGAAAACTCCGGCAAGCTGAACCTCCCACTGCTGTTCACCACCCCGCGAAGCTGCTGCCACCTCTCTGCCATGAGGCGGTAGCTAGCCTCGAAGAAAGACTCGCTATTCTTCGAGCTGCCAGCCTGCTCGCAGCTGTCTGTCACTGCTTCAAGCACCTTGGCAGCTCGGAGCTGCGAGTCTTTGGACACGCCGATGGTGTTGAGCTCGATGAATTTGGTCATCCTCCTCGCAATTTCGAGGTCTTTGACCAAAGCCCACCTGAAGGTGCAAAGGGAAGAGTTAAGGAATGGCTCAAAAGGAAGAGGGCAAATGAATTTCATTACCCCACTTCTGGACGATGAGCGGCATTACTCACCCAATGCGCATCCCGGCGTGGCCCGTACTTTTGGAGACGGTGAACAGCGTGAGGTTGTTGTCAGCCGGGGAGGAGATAGGTGTGTACTGGGGCCAGTAGTATGCCAAATCATGGATCAGAGCTCCCCCAGTTTGGTTGATAACCGAGTGTCTCGTAAACCCGTCGGGGTTGTTGGGGGAGGTGATCAGCTCAATGTAAGGCCCCAGTTTGTTGAAGCTCCTGGCATCGCCTGCCCACTTGTGAAGACCTGACTTTTGGTAGTCAGTCATTGATGGGTAGGACTGCAACGACAAACATCAGTATTTGCAATGTCATTAGTGAGAGAGAGAATATATATTTTGTAGTTTCTTTATCAAAAATGCAATGAGAAATTTCTGTCTATGAAACCATTCAATTAGCTTTGTATAATTATTTACTAATGTCAAGTTCTTGTATTTACTAATTGAATGTCAGAAACAACTTAGGTCCCATTCATTTCACCGATTCGAGTTTTGCTACAGTAAAAAGCTCTAAAAAATAGTTACATCTAACTTGTTTACTACAGTAAAAGGCTCTCACATAAAGTCACATCTCATCTCGAATTAAAAACTCGAATTAACGAACTAAACAGGCCTTTAGACATGCAAAGATCAAATATTGTCAAAACAAAATGTTATTTCGGTGGATTTGAATTTTTCTAGTACAAAGTGAAGTCAAATGTTCTTTCTTATGTTGATTTTAGCTATGGAGTACAAAATTTTGTGCAAGTTCAGCAAATGAACATATGCAAATTGTGTTTGAGGTGGGAAAGAATAGGAGGCAAGGAGGCAAACGTTCTTAGTGGAAAAAATAATAATATGATGCCAAAGTCAAGCATTAGAAAAATAATAAAATATCAATGGTACAAGAAAAAAAAAAGACTTCGTAATCAAGAGCCCAAAAAAATAAGTGGGTTGATGAAGTCGTCTAGAATTTATGCCAGTTAGCATCATCTTTATGGCACTAATTATCTAATTAGCATAAGTGGGTTTGTGCTGCTTTTGTTTTTGGAGGATTGTTCCTTTTTTTTTCTTTTTTCTTCTTTCTTTCTTTTTTTTAAAAAAAAATCTCAGATCCAAAAACACAAAGCGACCACCAAACGTTATGGTCTCTGTATGTGCATGAGAAGTCAAGTGAAAAAGAGTGACGCCACCAATGTCACACACTAACTATATAATATTACTAGACAAAATCGAAAGCAGAAAAGTGGAAAACTTTGCCAAAAGCATGTCCACCATGTTTTAAGTGATTAAACTATAACAAAATGTAGAATCGAAGGAACAAAGCATATATATCCAATGTTTATTTATATGCAGTAATGGGGTTTTGACTTTGCCAGGATTTGCTAGCGAGTATGCTTAGTCATGACTTGCTAAATTCAAAGCATCAAATAAATGAATATATATTATATATTATTAAGGACCATGTTACGTCTGCCCCCAACTTTCAGTTTATTTTTAGTTTGTCCCCGAACTACATTTTCCGTTTGGTTTTTATCAGAAAGATCACGTAACTGCGTTACCTCTCTTCTTTTTTCAGTTTGTTGTTAACAGAATCCTATCATATGTGGGTAATGACCCTAATCTTCGGGGCACAAGTGAGAATAATCCGATCATTAAAGTCACACAAGGCAGAATCAGACGGGGAAAATCTCATTAAAAAAACTAACCGAATAGTAAGGAGCTGCTGATATGACACTCATGGGCTCGATTGCTTCTTGAGGAGATAGAGCAAAGAGAGCCGCCAAATAGAGCTGAGAAGAGCCTGTGCCAACAACAATGTGACGACCTTCAGTTGCAGCATTTCCCACCACTTTGTGAAGCCTCACAACTTGCTTGGCAAACTCAGGCTCCAAAAACCAACAAACGCATTTTATGTCAGAAAAATAGCTCATTGATTGCCATCCCGGGATCACAATTGTGGTCTTTTCTCCCATTTTTTGCCAATAGCTTTCGTACATTGTTGGATCACCACTGCATTAACAAGTTACATTAATCTCCAAAGTTTAAAATATATATATATATATATATCAAATCTTTTGCGTGATTACTACATTCTATGTCTGCCCTCCAAATCTTTTGTGGGATACCAAAACTTTTCCTTAGAAATTTGACCTACCCATTTGAGAACACTAAGTAAAAAAGTGACCATAAAAAAGAAAAACACCAAAGAAAGACAAATTGGAAGAAGGGCATTATAGATAGTGGCATCAATGAGAAAACCATATCTAAAAACCTTTTGTGGGATAACAAAACTTTTCCTTAGAAATTTCACCTACCATTTGAGAACACTAAGTGCCAAGTAAAAAGTGACCAAAAAAGAAAAAGAGAAAACACCAAAGAAAGACAACTTGGGGAGAAGGGCATTATAGATAGTGGCATTAATGAGAAACCCATCTCTGCAAGTTAAAAAAAAGGGAAGGAAAAAAAAAATCTGTGACAAGGCAAATAGAAATTTTATCATGGTTCGTGATTCGTTATAATATTTTCTCTCATAAAAAACACATAAACCGATAATGATTCTGAATTCATAAACCAAACGTCAACTTAAATTGCATGGAGGTAGGTACGGGGAAGGCAGATATGGGAAGAGAGCCGAGAGGTGTGTAGTGTGGGGTCATTTTCTTGTATGAGAGATCAATGATTAGATTGGAATTGAGAATCTTTACATCAGAATGAAGGTCCTCATAACATGTGTTAATAAGTGGTAAAGGCCTTAGAGATGATGGTGTTGGTATCTATTTTGGACCCACAAAGTGGTATGGTAGTAACTAGTAAGATCCAAACGATCCCACTTTTTTTTCATATGGTGAAGGAAGGAGGGGACTAAAACAGCATAGAAAAGCTAATTTCACAGCTTGGGTCGGCGCACTTTGGTTCTTTATTTATCAACTTTTTAATTTTTTAATCTTTATAGCTAAAAAGTCTCCTCTATTAACTTTTTTTCTTTCCTTCCACAATATGGGGTTTGCCGTTTGCCTGCTGTTCATAGAAAGCAAACAAAAAACAAAGAGGGGGCAAAAAAAAAAAGAGTGACCGACCACAAAATTTTTTAGAGAAACTCCCCTATTGTGTCTCCAATTATATTCCTTATAAACTCACACAAGGCTTTTGTTTGAGGAATTTTGAGTTTTGACTCCACAACTTTGTAGTACTCTCAATGATGGTGTTGTGTTGTTGGTCAAATGTCAATGAGCATTGAGCAACACCTCCGATGGGACAAAAGATATTTGGTGCTATGTTTTAGAATTTAGCACCCCCAAGAAAAAAAATAAAAAATAAAAAACAATTTGGGAAACAAGAAATGACAAAAGAAAACATTCGTCAAAAGTAGGAACAAGCAACAAAGAGGGTTTTTTTCTTTTTCCAATTTTAAAGCGATACCTAATCATTAAAAAATCTTTACGATCAACAAACTATTTTACTATATTAATAGTGTTTTTAATTATTATATTAATTTTATAACAGTCAAAACTGTATAAATTTTTATTAAAAGTTTATTGTATGCCACAAAAACTACTCATGTTATAAATCTTATTTTTTTTTTACATAATACTCATGTTATAAATCTAACAATTAAAAAATTAATCTAAATGTAAAAATACTTACTCCACTAACAGAGTAAAATAGCTTATTGCCCCCTAAAAACCGCCCATACTATTGAGAACCTCAACCAAGGACTTGTCTCTGTCTATACCATAAAGAAGCGTCAGAGTACTGGGAAAACGCAACCCCATTGGCCTCCCAAACAAACAAAACCAAACAAAGGGTCAACAAAAGGTAAATAAATAAGGAAACTTAAGAAAATCAGAATAAAATCAAAATAGTGCAAAGCAAAACAAAACAAAAAATACCAAGGTGGGTTTTTTCCTGACAATGTGACAATGTCAAACCAACATTGGATTTGTGATACTTCTTGCCTGCCTTATGGCATGCTTGGATTTTTATTAATTTGTTGTCAACTTGAAAAGACAATAATGCCCCTGGTTAAAAAATTGACTTTCGGAGAATAATAACTTCGCCTCTGACAGGGTGGTGGATGACATGATAATATCAACACTCACCAACAACCTCATGTGAGGTCATTTGATACTTCCGGAAACTTCAATGGAGGTAATTTGAAAAATACACAAAACGACAAGGAAAAACAAAACATAGAGAGAGAAAGAGAAAGAGAAAGAGGAAAGGGTTTTTTTTTTTTCTTTGTACTTACTGGTCGAGATTGATAATCTTTTCCCCGCCATCTTCAACCTCTGAAAGACTACCAATGGAAGATGAAGAAGAAGAAAAGGGTGTTGACAAAACTGCCCTCTTGCTAACGTGCGCCACTTTCTGAACAGAGCCACTTTCCTCCATTGAAGTTCCTCTAAACTTCTTCTGCAGAGCCAAGCCATAGTAATGAAGGCCCTGATTTTCACTCTCAAAGAGAACCCTCAAAACCAAACTCACATTCAGGGCAAGAGAGAGAACAAGCAAGTGTTTCAAAGAGAAAAAACCGGGGATTTTAACCATATTGAAAACAGAGCAAAAACAGAGCAAAACAGAGGAAAACAGAGTAGGCCAATGCAATATTATATTTTGAGAGCTTTTTGTGTGTGTGTGTGTGAAGAGATGAAGAACTGAACTGGGAATTTATAGCGAAAATCGGAGGATGAGAACAAAAATAATGGAAGTGACAAATGGATGGTTGAAAATTTGAAAAGACATGCATGCAAAAAAAGGTGGGGTTGATGAAGCGTTATGAATCACTTTTTTTGATGGTCAAGTTTACGGTGCACTAATCAACAAAAATTAAAATACTTGTTGAAAACAATCTGACAAGAGGAAAAATAAACGGACTTGGATTCAGTTTTGCTAATTTGGAAGGACTCTGAAACCCCTTTTGAGAAAAAAAAAATTACAAAAGTTTTTTTGGGTTTAATCAGATTTGTTTCCTGGGGTTTTAGAGACTTTTGTACATGTTGGTTTTGAGTTTGTGATTCTGTTGTACTCGTTGAGCCCTTACTTGCTCTAAATTTACCATGAAAATGCTGGCTTTTTAATCAAGTGGACATTAGAAATGGCAAAAAAGAAAGAACAGGGCAATAGTGACATGAAATATCAAATAAAAATAGTATACCAAAAAAAAAAAAAAAAACAAGAAGAAGAAGAAGAAGAAGAAGAAAGAGGATCGAAATATTGAAACAAACCAGAAAAGGTTGAAAAGAACAAAGTTTGATCCTAGTGTTACATTGATATTTTGGACTGAAAAACGAAACCCAGAAATTAATGAGTTAGTTGGAGTGGATATATTGAAGCACGCTCGGAAGGAGAGACACCTCCGACATGAGATTTTCTCGGGAATCAAGAAACTCCAGTACGATTTTCTCGGAAAATTTTCCGATGCCAGATCTCGAAAACGAAACAGACCCACTAAGGCGTAGATTCACTGTTCCTTGTTGATGTATAAACTTTAGGATTATTTTTATAAATGTCTCGAAATATGTACTTTATTTTAAAATATCTTTTAATTTTTTAAAAGTTTTATTCATTTTGTTGATACGAGTTTAAAATTTAAATTGAGATGTGATTTTATGTGAGAACTTTTTACTGTAACAAAAAAGTTAAATGTGATTGTTTGTAAAAACTTTTTACTGTAAAAAAACTCGAATTCTAAACTCGAATCAGCAAAGTGAATGGGGCATTAAAATACTCTTTGATTTATAAAAAATGGTTTAAAATACTCTTTCTATTTACGTCATGTTGATAATATGAACGGGATGCTGACGTGATAATGTCATTAAAGATTTATAAAAAATATTTTCTCATCAATATTAATATAAAATCATATAGAAATCAAATAGAATTTAAAGACTAATAATAGAACAAAATTTAAATTAAAAAACCAAAAATAACAAACAGATTAGTTCAATTAGAAAAAAAACAAACAAATATATACTCACAAATCTGTAAAACATCTTCTTGTCCATTGTCGGCCTCTTTCTCCTATCAGGCTATCACTCATACTGTTTCTCTCTCTTGATCTTCTCCTTTTCTCTTCTCTCTCTTTCGACCCTAAACACAGATCTCCTTCACATTTCACGACACTCAAAACCAACTAAATCAAAGAAATCACGTTTACTTAGATTTCATTAATTTCGTTCGTTCGAATTGAGAATTTAAATTAAAAAGTAAATTTATGTGAGATAAAACACTATAACAAAAAAAGTTTAATTTTAATTCATATTAAAGAAAACACTATAACAAAAACTTGAGTTGTGATTCAAACTACTGAAATAAACAGGACCTTAATATCACCAAAACTTTGTATTCTTCCTCTTCACTCTCAAAATGCAGACCAAAATGGCAACCCCGCCTCGTCGTTATCATCGTGAGCATAGCCCAGCCTCCTTATCGTCCTCGTCACCAACCCAGATCTATCGAGCTTGCCTATGCCACGTCGAGCTCACAACCCACTTCGTTACAACCCAATCTAGATGCGCAACACTCGCCCCCTTCACGAGCTGCCACAAGCCTAGATCCATCTGTCGTCGTCGCTCCACTGTTCGAGTCGAGGCAATATCTTTGTCGCAAGCTCCTTCGCGATCCTTCCTTCACCGTCGTAAGCTCTCCACCGTAAACATCCTCCCTCGAAGGAGGAGTTTTTTTCTTAAAAAATAATTGTCCTAAATATTTATTTTAAAAAAATCTAATAATAGTTTAAGTTTACTTTCTAATAATTATTTTTTTTTTCAATTTAAGTAAATTTAAATATTTAAAAATGAGTGCCACGTAGACAAATTTATTAACATTATAGAAAAAAGTGGACATAAAGGGTATTTTGAACCATTTTCTATATATTGAGATGTGTTTTAAATTATTTTAAAAAATCACGACCACTTTGAAATAAGATACATAGCTCAGGAAGCATTTATGAAAATAATCTTAAACTTTATAAAACCATATGAACATATAATAAATATAATAGAATAATGTATGGACACCAATTCGAATCTCAATTATTGTCTATCAACTAATGTGTTATGTGAGTTGTTATTTTTTTATTGATGAGTGTTTAAAATATTATCACGTTAATTAATAAAAATAATTATATCTACTAATAAAAAAATAATAATTTACGCATTATTTTAATTTAATATATAAAAATTAAAATTTAAGTTGATGTGTCTAATATTAATTAATATAATAATATGTTAACATTAGAAAGTGATATAAAAAGGGGTAGTGTTAGTGGAAAGGCTGCTATGGCAACGTGCTGTGTCAGCATTTTTTTTCTTTTTTTCTCTTTGCTTTTTCTTCTCTTTTTCTTTTTCTCCTTTTTTTTTGGAGTTTTAATTTATTTTTTTTGACCCATTTTTCAATCTTTTTTATAAGCTTTTTTTTTTTCTTTGAGTTGTGACCAAAGTTGGAGTCTAGATTTTTTTGCTAGTTAAAGTTGGAGTCTTGATTTATTATTTTTATTTTTATTATTATTTATTTTTTTGTTGAAAATTGGAGTCTTGATTAAACTGGGAACTTGAGATAAACATGAATTTTGGTAACTCTATTGGCCAAGCCAGAAATGCAATCTTGGCACTTTGACTGAAAAGTCAACACTTTATGTGTCCAACATTCTTTTTCTTTTTCTCTTGGTCTAGTGTATATTTTACCTTTGATCCTACTGTCTCCTTTATTTACCTTTTATCCCCTGATTTAGTAAATTATACTTGATTGTATCCTCATTCTTCACTAACCAAAGGTAAAGAAACATGAATCAATAAATAGTATTCGTCTATTTTATTTTAGTCAGAAGCTAAGGATTGTGTTTTTCTTTTTCTTTTAGTTTTTTTGTTTTCAATTCCTAATAAAAATCGTTTAAAATGATTTAACGAATCAAAAGAAGGAAAAAAAAGTAGTTTTATGCCGTATTTGCTTTCACTACAATCAATATTAATATTTCAACCGGATCATGAATTCATAACGACGATGTTTTACTTTTTCTTAACATGACAGAATATAACGAACAAGGTCATAATAAGGAATGTTTTTTGTCTTTTTAAACAAGCGTAAGTTAAAACTAAAATTTTGAACGAAATAATAACAGAACAAGTACTAAAAAGTATTTGTCATCGTTTTCCTTTTTTATTCAATCATGAATTCATAATGACGAATAGCGACAATATTTTACTTTCTCGTACCATAACAGATTATAACATGTAGGGTTAAAGCAAGGAATTCATTTTTTCAAGACATGGGTTGTGAATGAGCAGATAATAAATTTAGACCCTTGATCGTTGTATTAGTAGGATCAGTTAATTTATTCTATAGGCACTAGGTGGGGCTATGAGGACACTAAAGATTCCTTTTTCGATTAAAAAAAAAAACAAAACGAAACAAATCAAGAAACACCACTCAAGTATGCATATGTTTACTAAAAAAAAAAACCATTGTGGTAAATTCTAGAGGTTCTTCTATGTTTAGGGACTACATAAAAAAAGGAGGAAAGTTTTGTTAGGATAAAAGTTTGGTCTCACATTTCTCATGCAATAAAGGAATAACTTGGATAATCACATTCCTATCTCTATAACAACTTTATCTTAAGAGATTTGCAAAGGGCATTCCTTATATAATAGTAAATATGGCGAAAGAATATGATTGCTGAAACTTAAAATTTTCTTTGATAATCCAAAAGTGCCATCTTGGTAATTGATAATTATGATAGATAAATCAGTAAACGCAATTATTTCAGTGATAAAAAGTATTCAATATGAACATCTCTTTCCCAAACAATCTTCTAAAGTCAGTTTCTTCTTTTGTCAGGACTCTTTTAATTCATCGGTTTCGTGTTCATTGCATTGTGAACTTTACCAAGAAAGAAAAGATTCGTAACTCCCGCATTTTACTGGTTTTGCTTGCACCCACTTGGTTTGGCTCGTCAGAACTCTTTCTTTCCATCTTCTGACTTTTACCCTTTCTCTTAATTCTTCAACAATTCCCAAAGAAAAAAAGAGTCACAAAAAGTTTCTTGTTATTCGCAAAGATTTTGTACAAAACATTTCTACTTTTTTTTTCTAGGGATGACATTTTTACTTACAAATATGGGTTTCCGCAGTTATCTGACTCTAGTAGGATGGGCATATGGGGATAATAATTAGCTCCAGATTTAGGAGATGTTTGGTTCATAGATTAAAATCATGTGATGAGAACTATTTTTAATTTACGTGTATTTTTTGTGAGAAAAAATACTGTAACGAACTATGATTCGAATCAGGAAACGAATCCCCTAACCAAACAACCTCTTAAGAATCGGAGAAGCTCTCTTATCCCCATTCCCATTTCCGTCTCAGTATAGATATTTTTACATATGTTTGAGTTTGAATTCAATTTTGAGACTTTGATTTGTTATTGTTATAGTTTAGATTTGACATGATTTCGATATATTTTTATGAGATATTAATCGTCATATAGTTGAATTTTCTAATTTATTTAATGAAATTTTTTGTGAGTCTTAATAATGTTGTAAGTATTTTTAAACTCTTAGAGTCCGTTTATTTCATGCGTTTAAATCAATTATTTTGATTCTGTCACAGTATTTTCATCTAAAAAAATTTAAAATTCAAATATAAGAATAAAAAATTACTAATAACGCGTGAACCAAACAAACTCTTAATTGATACTTCCCATTCCTACATGTTTTATAAACATGAAAAAATGATAAGTTCCCGATCCTAATAAGTTATGGACTACCAAAAATACAGAATATCACAAATGTGACCGCGTGTCTTCACTTTATAAAAGTACTTTTACAAATCACGTGAGCAAATAAAATACACTAGGATTTTTATTAAGGAGTGCACTAAATCCAAAAGATAATACCAACCTGGTATGGTTATCAAGTAGCGTAATGATGTCTAATTATAGATTTCGATTTGATTAAGAAAGGGTGTAATAGATAGATAATAGTTGTGACGATGAAAGTAAATAATAAAAATAAGAATATAAATTATTTATTTTTTTTTTTTTGGTGTTTAAATGAAAACCATATAATTTTTAAAAAAAAAAAAATTATTATCACTAGTACCTCTTGGATTTTAGAGTAATTTTCAGTTTATTTTTTAAACTTTAAAAATTCTCACTTTACCTCCATTAACTTTGAATTTTCCCACTGAATTCTTTCTATTGTAATTTCTATTAAAAACATATAGAAAAAAGAGTAATGTAATCATGTGATTTTTTTATTTAAATTTTTATTAAAAACAAATTTATAAAAATAACATAGGTCACACTTAATCCGCTCTTTTTTTTGTTTGATTTTGACAAAAATTCTTATAAAAAGCTTAAATGAAATAAATTTAAATGTTAAGAGTAAAATGAGAATTTTTAAAGTTTAGAAGGTAAATTAAAAAATTGAGAATGACCTACAACACCAATGAATTTTTTTTTTTTTTGTAATGTTTACTAAATTTAAAAATAGAAGTCTCAAGTCACATCAAATGATTGCTATAATATCTTTTTATATCAATTAATAACTATGGACTTATCACATATAACGATATATAACGAAACTTGACATTCATTCATGATATTAAATTAACATTCTCTTTTTTTTTCATTATTTAATGTGTGCGGCCTATCAAATTATTATTCTTGATCATATATATAAACACGTCTTTTTTTGTGTTTTGTTTTTTATACGGCTTGGAGTCTATGGTTTTTATTTTATATAAGAAATGAAAACACCGCCAATAAAAATTTAGTGGGTCACTTAGTGGCAGAGAAAGGCACCGCCTCTGGAGTTTTGCTATTTTATTTTTCATACATAGTTTTTAAAAAAATTTCATGTCTTCTTTTATTAGTAAAAATTTCAAATATATCTCCACAAAATCAAATCTCAATTATTTTTTTGATCTTTTTCTATTAAATCTTATACTTTTAGATGCATCTAATTGATTTATTTATTTTTTCTAATTTACTAATAAAATATTTTTATTTTATATTAGTCCCTTCTAAAATACTTTTTCATATAATCTTTATCTTTATTATATAAAAAGAGAACCTCATAAAAGAAGTTTATATGTTTATTAAAATAATTTTTATATGTGTCTGTGATCAGTGGCGGAGAGAGGCTTAACCCGGGGGGCATATGCCCCCTTGAATTTTTGAAGATTTGTGATAGTGTCTGTGATTTTTTAAAATTTAAAAAAAAAAGCAGAAAAAAAGTAAAAGCGCCCAAAATGTTAATATGAGAGAGAAACTAAGGGGATGTTTGGTTAGAGGATTAAAACTTTGATTTGAATCATGATTCATGATTCGTTACCGTGTTTTCTCTCACAAAAAATACACGTAAATCAAAAATAATTCTAATCACATAATTTTAATCTATGAATCAAACGTCTCAGGGATTGGACACGTATTGTCTAATGCAAAATCAAGGTGGAAGCATATACGAGGAAGTTGATGAATCATGGACTTTCAAAGAGCCGGAGCCAAGTATGCAATGACCTATTTTTCCACTTGAAAAATGTACATATAATAAACAACATAGGAACCTTAACAGACAGGACTGTCTCATGATGTTGTTGGTCATCATCAGTCAATCCTAGTCTTTGATGGTCAAGTACCATGTCCACAAATAAACGGTCTGAATTCAAAGTAACATAATTAGGCACCACTTCTTACCTAACATATTTCTCAACATCTTTTCATACATGCTTTTCTCATGGAATGAGTTGTAAATATCCTGGTTCTTGAGGAACCAAGTGTGAAAGATAGCGAAACTCGCGCTAGAATGATAACAATCTAACATGTTTATGATCATATTATTAGGTATATCGATTGAATTAGAATATATATATATATATATATATATATAAATAAAGGATCTAGAAATGGTAAAGCAAGGCCATGATGTGTATGTAGCTTAGTGATTGACCGAAAAGGAAAATAGCAAAATGCTGTGAAAAGTTTATACGCTTCTCAGCTGTTGGTGGGAGTAACATCTCATGTGATTTTTCTTTTTGTTTTGTTTCTTGGTAACCTTTTCCTCCCCTCCAAAAAGTCACCTTTATTTTCAAGTCTTTCACCTCAAAAAAAAAAAAAAAGAATAATAATAATTGACATGATGAAGTGATAAGATTTTCCGACAAATTGCATGAAATAAGGCCCCGTTCACTTCGCTGATTCGAGTTTAAAATTTGAGTTGAGATATGACTTTATGTGAGAGCTTTTTACTGTAGTAAAAAAGTTAGATGTGATTGTTTGTGAGAGCTTTTTACTGTAGAAAAACTTGAATTCTAAATTCGAATCAACGAAGTGAACAGGTAAGGGATGACACAACTAAATTCCTATGCTCCGAAGGGCCTGGACCTCTTAATGATCATTGAGGGGTCCACAAAACCAGCACTCTGAAGAAAGGAAACTTGGGCCTTCCAAACCACCGGGGCCAATTTAATTATTAATTGATATTGAGAGCTCAGTCACAGAAATCTCATCCAGAGGATTTAAACCAAAGCTTTGACATTCACATGGTTCTAGGGCTCAGTTTTTGCTGCATTTCAAACTAGGTCACAATCTGCCATTGGCAACAAGTGGTCCTCCACCGAGGAATGAAAGCAAGAGATCTTTCATTTCTTGAAGATGCACTCACTAAGCACTACTTAGGGCCAGTTTAATAGTACTGTAGATTTTAAAAAAATTACTTTTAATTATGTTGAAAAAAAACAACCGTTACAAAAACAGTTAAGTGTTTAATAAACTGTAATTATACAAGTATTGATTCCATGAATATTATAGATATTATGAAAGTTTCATTAATTGTACTTTAAGATAATTACCGCATAATCTGAAAACTAAGGAGTTGTTCTTTTGGAGTGTACCTTGAGTGTAATTTTTGAATTGAATTTGAGTTATAACTTGAGTTGAAGTTGTAACTTGAATAAAGTTGAGTAAAGTTGAATAAAGTTGAAATTTAAAAAAACATGAACTTGAATAAAATTGGAACTCGAATTGTCTTTTTTTGAGTTTTTTAGACAAAAGAACATGCTCTAAAGTTATTTTTGAACTGCTTCTGATTTTGGCCGTAAATTCTTTAAAAATTCTTTAAGAATCACTTTTTATAAATTTTAACAAATACAAATTTCAGCTGTGATAGCTAGAGAATTAATTTTAAACTCTAAGAATCACCACCGAATATACCCTTATTATACCCTTATTGGGGAGGGTTTATTGGGCCTAGGAGTAGGGATGGGTCTCCCTCAAGCTGTGAATGTACTGGTCCCCATACTAATCATATAGATTTGGCCATAAAATATTTCTGATTCTTGACCAGAAATGTCATCTCAAAGAATCAGGACGGAATTGACAAGCTCTGAAGTTTTGGTACTCAATGCAACTTGTTTTTGAGGGCAAACCCATCATAATTATGAGCTCCAGAGGTCAAGTTCTTTTCCAAAATGTTTTGTGGCTTTTGAAACATCAAGTGGGTAACGAGTGACTACTTCATGTTCTCATCCCACTAGGGATTTCAATTGACTAATCAAACATGACATTGATATCAGATTCGCTGAAGAGGAAACCAGAGCAAACAATGAGTACAAACAAAAGCAGTAAAGAGTAGCATTTTTTACATCAGTGACAATTTACACTCGTATACAATACCTTGTATGTAAATGCATTGTTTCCAATTTGCAACAACAGATAAATATGGAGTAAAAGAAGCATACTGATATTGATCAATACTATGTACAAGCATGTAAAAGTATCTATATACGTTCAAAGGATTATAGGTACTCATAAAATCACCGGCCAAACCTATGACTCTCTTGCTGGACTTCACCTTTCATCAGCTTATCCAGAACGACATTAAGGTCCACCGACTGCCCATTCTCAGTCATTTTCTTCACTGTTGCTCTCACAATGTCTCTCCGGAATCCCATTGCTACAATATTGTCAATAACATCATCAACGGGTATTCTATTTCCGGTCCCATTTGAGCATGATCCACTATCCACATCAGAGGCCATTGGCAGCGCACGTGGGAGTACTTGGGCAGTTGGCAGTTGTGTGAATCTGTTTTCACTAGCTAGGACAGGAGAAAATGGTGGAACTTCCGAGGATTTCATTTTTGAACTGCTGTATTGGGAAGGAAGTCCAGAATGAGAATAGCCATCACGAAAACTAGAATGTCTACTCGGTTGCACATGCTCGGTGCGAAACTCTGAACTTCTTGAAGGTTGATCATATACCCTTTGGTTAGAGCCAAAATAAGTTTGTTGGTTGGGAGGGGCCAAGCCGTGTGCATTAGAGGTTCTTTGGATGCTTGTGTTGTAGCCTTGAGGTGATATGTAAGAAGCTTCTTCAAAGTTGTGAGCCGGCAAATAACGAGCTTGTGCATCAACAGGTGGAGGCAGGGGCAGTAACTGTGAGATCGGAAGTTGTGGAACTGTTTGATAAGGTTGATATGGTGCTGAAGATGTTGGCTGCTGCTGCTGAATATGAAGCATATGGTATTGTTGATGAGTGGATTCCAAACTGAACATAGGTAGTAAGTAGTTCGGCTCTGCCTGTGGAAGAGAAGGGATTTGATTCTGAGATACTTGGGCTGGAAACTGCCCTGCTATTGGTATTGGTGGCTGACTCTGATACGAAGTGATTGGAGAAACGTTAGGATCAGGAGGAAATTTCTGTGGAGAAATTACAGAACTTGGTTGTGATTGGTCGGTTTGCTGTTGGACAGATGATAACACTCCTTGACCAGAACTGGTGTTAGTTTTGGTCTTTTGGTCTTGTGATTGCTCCTGATTTTTTAAGATTTCAAGCTTGGTTAGCTGCAGCTGCACTTCTGATATCTCTCGTTTATCTCTCAAGTCTTGAATACCACTTTGAATCTGTGAAAGTTATCCACAAATGTGATCAAGCATTTTAAGTATGCATCGCATCTTTCTAGAAAAATCTCCCAAAGAGATAATTTCAAAGGAAACAATGAAAGTAAAAGAAGTACCTCAGTGAGAATATTCTCCAGCTGCGTCAACTTTCCTTCAGTCCATCCATGATTAAACTCGGATGAATCCTTCAATTCGTCGACAGAATCTTCAATTTTCCGTGTTCTACTCTCCAGTTGACACATTCTCACATTAAGCCCCTCCATAACGTGTAGTAGATTCTTAGAATGCTCCTCCATTTTGCGATCAATCATAGATATTAATCCTCTATCACTGGAAGCCCCAACATTCTTGGAATCAGATTTTGGTGGATCAATGTAGTCCATAGAAGCGCGATTCTGCCATGAACAATAAAAGGGATTACTCTAACTATACGAGCACACTTAACAATTCAGATCCTCATCCTTCATTTCACTCAAATTTTTCAGCTTAACAAGGTCTTTAGGAAAAACCACATCAGGTATATATGTATATATGGACGAGTTTTTAATGGTTACGTGGTCACCTCTACCTATAAAAATTTAATGAGGTGCCGCCCAATTTTATTAATTGTCATTAACTTTTTAGTCAACTATATATTATATATATATATATATATATGTGTGTATTCATGTTCAATTTAAGATCAAATACGTTATGTGATTCAAACAATAAATCTAATAAACTCAAATGCATTGGATCTACTCAGGCTCTGAGCAGCTCTCCATTGCAATTTGGGTCCCAATTCAACCAAACCCAGACCTTTCTTACAAATCTTGCAGCTTTTATAAATTGATAATCGATTTTGACAATGAAAGCGTTTAATAATTGCAATTTGGGGAAATAATTGCAATTTTGGGATAAAATTGGTATTCAGTAGAACTAACGAGTGATACAATTCAGCGAATTCTAGTTTTCAAAACCTAAACTTCGCTCCGATCAACACAGAAAGACAAGATTTTTCATCGATCCAATATCAAGAAAAATCAAAATCGACATGGATCGATTAATCAAACAAACCTGGAAAGGGGAATCGTACGAATCGGGGGAAACGACAGGTCGTACGGGACGGAAATGGAAGGTGGAGCTGAGATCGTCCTTGGTTAATCCATAAGAGAGATCGTCGTCTTCCTCCGGTTCGCGGCCACGGGAGTACGAGAGGTCGGAGAAGTCGTCGGAGTGGGACCGGGAAAGCTCCGAGATCCGCTTGTCCATGAAATCGGACGACTTCATAGCAAAATGAAGCGAATATTTCCTCGCCGGAGAGTTGTGCCTATATTTTCTCCCGTTTTCTAGGATGCCAAACAGAGGATATGGTGGTACTAATTCTGAGTTCTGGCTTTTCTCTTCATCTGCAAGATATGCACCTGCCGTGGGACTGCTGCAATGACGGATGCTGACACAAGTTACACGTGTTGCATGGGGGAGGTGGTCTCATGAAAAGTCCGTGAGATAGTTAGTAGAGAAGTTATTATAAAAAAAATAACAAAACCTCGTTTATTTCACAAATTTAAGTTTTTAATTTTAAATTTTTACATTTAAATTTTTACAGTTAAAATTTTTTAAAAAATATTACATATTAATTTTAATTAAAAAATTAAATCAACAAAAAGAACGAGATCTAAATAATTTTTAAAAAACAAAAATCTTGTTTCAATCAAAAATAAAAAATCTTCTTGGGTGTGTGTTGTCACGTGTGTTGTCACATGTGAGCACCAATTCTTCTTTGGCCATAGCAAATGACGCTTCGATATCGTACTTATTATCATTTTAATTTTCTGTCTTAGATACATTACTTTCTGCAGCTTTTTTTTAGACCGACGACTTTTAATCATGTGGTCCTTCTTGCCACAATTGTAGCAATTACTATCAAATTTCTTTTTTGTTTAGATTTACTATTCCTTTTGTCGTTTTTCTGAGCTCCCCTGATCGAGAACTTCGTTGATAACCACTCAATTTGTCATCGCTTCTTAATCCCTTTCCAGCATTTTGTTTGGGTTTGTTTGTGCTCTTACCACTAAGCGTGGGTTTGTTCGCTAGAAGAACTTTTAGGGATCGTTTCGTTCATAGATTACAGTCATGTGATTAAAATTATTTTTAATTTATATGTATTTTTTATGAAAAAAAATACTGTAGCGAATCATAAACCATGATTCAAATCATGGTTTGAATCCTCCAACTAAACATCTTATTTTGGTCCCAATTCAATAATAAATAGGTTTAAACTAATTGAATACAGGTTATGGAAATTCTTAAAATGAGTTTGTCATTTTTATAAAGAATATAATTTACAACTCTAAATTCTAAATTCTCTTTTTCTTGCAACGGATTTAGGTAAAAATATTTTTAAATTTATACTGTTCGCTACTTCATATATGATTACAGGCCGAACTAAAATAAAATATTTTTTCTTGATAGGTGTGATCGATCAGACATAGATCCAATTTTTTCATTTGGTAATATGCCAATTTGTCCACTATTAGTAGATAAAATTATTTCCTTCACTTCTGAATCCCAAACAAACACAAAAATTTAAGGTAATTTCATCAATTTGTTCTCCATTTCTAAGTTGGTAGCCTTCGCAGCAGGTCTTCTTCTTCACTTTTTGGTGAGACTCCACCCATTTGTTTCGCCAATGCTTCCTAGTGATCTGCAAGTAGATTTTCAAAGTTTACGAGTGACAATTGAGTTGGCCAACCTTGTACTACAGCGACAGCCTCTGTCTTCTCATTCTGGATTCTTCAATACAGGCGGTAGGATCAAGTACTTCAGAAATTTAACGGCATAGAGATTTTACCTTAGTAATTGACGGCTAGCAACTCATTCTTCAAGAGTTGTAATCTCGTGTCGTTCTTTCATGACAAGAGTGCTTCAAAAGTGTCCCAAACTTTTTTTTTTTTTTTTTGGTGTTTATTGTTATAAAGATTGTAATATATCTTGATCAAAATCACAAGTTGTTTAAGTATTAAAACATGAAAACTCATATTAAAGGGACTTCAAAACGCTGCAACGGACAAACTACTTTGATTCGGCAAAACTGGCCACAGTTGAAATATTTTGGCTGCAGCCGAAATATTTTGGCTACAGCCGAAGTGTTTGCATGTTTCGGGTCTGTTTGCAGCTGCAGCGCGAAAACATCCGCTGCAGCGGAAATTATGCAGAAAACAACGTTTTCATGAGTTTATGTGATCTAAAACGTTTCGAACCATTACATCCATTGGTGATATGTTTTCATACATATCTGAACACCAATTAGCAATAGATATAACTATTATAATAGATGTAACTATTATAATAGGATGTATTAATCTATGAAAAGATACATTTACATTGAAAATGTACTTTTATGTGAATGGTTGTATTGTTTAAGGATGATGCATTCATTCATAAAATGATACTTTTGTCTTTATTAATTTTTTAAAAAATTTACAGACTTAATTCATATTCTTGAACTCAATATTATTACTAGATATTGTGTTCAAATGTTTATTGTATCTTGAGAGTAATTTACCATTAAAACTCATTAACAAATTTTGAAAAATTAAGATAAATAAAATCTTAAAGAAAATTATTCTTATACGTCTCAAATCTTCTCTTATTTCTGCATTCTTTTCACTCCCACACTCAAATGTCTCCAACATTTATGCTATCCTTATTTGCTCCAACATTTCTTCCTCTATAGTAGTCTTGCTAACAAACATTACTTTGATGGCTTTAATCTTCCATTTGCGTAAGGTGCCATTGGCATCTTTTGCCGTCCGCCTATAACTTCACTACCGTCGACTTTCCAAAGATCTTGCCCTTGCATGTACGACAACATGCATGTCACCCACGTGTTGTATTTTTGGTTGTTGAGATTCTTGATTCCCCAACTACTTGAAGATCACCCATTGTGCTGGCAATACCTCGGTAATACCAAACAAGCTTTGTCTTGACGACAAACTTATAAATCATTTTTAAAAATATATTTAGTAATTTTATTAAGAGATTATTTTTAAAAAAATTCATTAATGTCTTTCTCTCTTTGTTCGAGAGAGGAGAAAAAAAAATAAAAAATAAAAAATAACTAAAAGTCGTTTTTTATTTCTCTATCATTTTACACTAAATCAAAAAATTGTTTTCATTTCTGTTTTTTATTTTTATTGCGCCAAACGCCGTTTTGAAAATATTTTTATTTTTTTTTCTTAAAAAACGTAAAAAATAAAAACATAATCAATTCCAAACACGACAAAAAAACCTCCATTAGGTTTGTGATAACTCCAATAACAATCTCAAAAAATCTTTCCCAATATGGAAGATCAGTCAACGTTCCATCCACGGAGCACACTTATAGTTTTTAAAGAGCCCACAACCTTACTCTCAAACCAGTTGTAGAACACAACACTAAAATCATAAAGCTATTAAATATAAATACTTTATACATTAAAACCCTAGATATTTCACACAAAATAGAACACCCAAAAATTACACTGTATAAAAAACTTCGAATACTAGAAGAAACTTTTTTTTTTTTTTTTCTCTCACACACCACAAGACAAAGCATCACACAACACTTCGTCACGACTCGTTTTTCTCTCACTTGGTTGGTCAGTTTGCTGTGCTAGACAATGAGCTAGGTAGCTCTATTTATAGTCGAGGTTGGCTTCTAATATTAAAAGATGCAAAGAGTATAATACAACCACTTGTTTTGGATAGATAAATAGGACATAAGGGTAGTACATATAATAATGCTACAATTCCTCTAAGTAGCAAGATTACACTACTTTATCATCCAATTGAATGTTGTATAACACTACTACTCCTTTAGTTGTAGCGCGCTATAGCTGTTGTATAATACTTCTACTCATCAAATCTTGGTTGTGTAATATTTCTACTCGCCGGTGTTGCTTTTATCAATTGCTTGATCCCTAATTTTCTCAATTTTGGTTGACAATCAATCGATATGATTTTTATAACATTCAACAAATATGAACAACGATACCAAAATGACATGAGAAGCCAAGGCAATCATATTGTTGTAGTAATATTCCTGTTACAAAATACAGCTCGTGATCAAACTACTCGTGTGTGCTACAAAAAGAGTCTACATATATTAACATACTAATTAAGCTAAATTACACAAATAGTGGCAAATGATCACAACCTACAAGGGAATTCAACCCTAAATATTGACTGGATTCACCAGTAAAAACGGATGAAGCACAAAGACGGACACAAGTGCCGAGACCCAATGACTGGGAAAGACCCGCTCGGCACAAAAATAGAGCGCGACCAAAGCTCATTAGTAAAAACCAATACAGTCGATGGATTAAAATATTCAACCAAGACCATACCCTTAATACTGGGGACACAAGCAACACGACATAAAAGAATATTTAGGTGTAAACAAACACATAGACCGTCGATAACTAACTCAGATGGATAGAACACATAAACAAAATCGGAAAGTGGAGAAACCACCTCCATTATTACAATTCATAAACTTTGCGAAAACAACGCCTTTATTAAAATTAACAAAATCTTACGAATAGCCTCAACCATACAGAAATAGATGTCAACGACAAGCTAATAGCTATTATACGGAAGCCAAAGAAACCGGATCTGAGCAGAGCCATCGCAGCGGAAGCACAACCGCCACCATCGAAGCTGAATGGAAAAACAACCTGAACGACGCCCTTACGCCACATACTAATTATTAATGAAATTTTCCATTAAAAAAACATACTAATTAGGCCAATTAACAGCCATTATTCAAAATAAGTACTCAACTGGAGATTCTTCTTGAGAACTCGGCCATGGAACTTGAACACTGACCATCCCATCATCATAACCAAATTTTACTCCAACGCCATCAATCTTACAAGCCACAGGCTTCTGCGAAGCAAACGCTTTCATTTCCCCACTTTTTCCTTTACTCCAATCCTCACCAAATCTTCATGATCACTCAACTCCATAGACTGAATTGAGCCAGCGGTGTTAAGCATGTTCACCAACCCAATTGGTGCAAATTGGACTGCCTTTTTGGGCAAGATTTTCACAGGAGAGACGGTGAGGAGCTCGAAATTCAAAGGCTCGTGCGAGACCTCGAAAGTCTCCGCAAACTTCATCAGCTTCAGCTTCTCTTCTCGGAACATGTAGACAGCAAACGTGTTTGATTCTTCGATTGGAATAAGGTTGTTTTTCTTTCCGTTGTTCCACTCGATGTCTTTCGGGCTTGCCGAGCAGGACACCGAGCAGCAGAACTGCGCAGCGCATTTATTGCGCCTGGATTGGCGACACCACCCTCCTCCTTGACAGTTGAAGAGCCCTAAAACTCCGGTATG